CGCTATTATAAGGGATCATCAAAGCTGTATAATGAAGCACGCGGACAGTACGAAATATATATATCGCAAGCCCCATAATACTGGCGCGCAATAGCCTGAACGACTGAAAAGAAACCAGTAAGACCGCGATATCTACTGCTTCAGGCGACGCCATCAAAGTACAATTTCCTAAATAAAAAAAGTTGTCTCATGTTGGCATGAAGGTGGGTTCATCACTTGAATTTTGAGTTCAGATCATAACTGAACCAAAGCGATATGACGCGGATGAACACGTGTGTTCCGCCGACGGTGTAGCACTGATTGGCATTGGTACGAGCATACTTATACTAGAGCCCTTATTGACCTTACACTATCAGCGTGCGTTGCTGCTCACAGTCGAAAGATATCAGAAAGATTTACGTCGGCCTCGTTGTCTTGAGGTTATTTCTCACACATACACTGAAAGTCTCTTTTCAGCGACAAGAATATTTCTATCTATTTCCATCGAACGCCACTTATATAAGTGTGGATGCGTAACGACGAAAAGGCCTTCAAAGTTACCCACGCTTTCTTGACGAGATCACTTTTAAACCTCATCTCGGCTTCACATGCCATAGATTCGTTCTTCTCCAACAACTCCAAATTAGTTCAGGAAGTTAAAATAAGAAAATTTGCCATAAAGTTTCTTAACGCTACTGTTCGCTTTATTAAGGTATCACAGAACGCGTTCTTCACCTCCTCTGCAAAAAGTAAGTGACAAAATACGATTCTCTTCAGCCCCCTTTCATATCACACCCTGTTTTTTTTGCTGTTGCTATCTATCGACTGGGTCTATTCATTTTCATCGAAGAACTACGATATGAAGTATTCGCAATTGCGTTGAGTCCGCCATTGACTTCACGTCTGGGGACAAGCGTAACCTTAGGCGTTAGCTTCGCAACCACAAACTATCCAGTGCTGTACGCATGCGATACGTGAGAACGACAGCTTGCTGTCGTAAACCAGCGTTAAAATATTGTTTCTCCTTCTATCATTAGCATGACTAGTCGAAAATTCGTCACAGTTCCGCTATGGGCGGAGAACAAAAATTGATCCTTCCCGCCAGCAGCAGTTGTGGCAGCGCCATCGTCAGGCAGCGGTAGAAGAAAGAGGCTTAGCCACAGGGCGACGATAGGTCAATAGAAAGAACTACAATTGATGCTATGGCTGCTACTGTAATCATCGTGGTCGTGGGCCACTGGTAGGAAGAAGTCTGTAGATGCGATAATCCGCACCGGTCGACGAATGCGTTTTTAGTCGATTCGCGCAAAGGTTTGCACCTTTACAATGAGCTGCATCGCAGGCGTGGCGGCTATCACGTTTACTATCACATAAACTTTCCAGAAATTTATTGTAAATGCTATTACTATTGTTATTATGGTTATAATTGTCCGTTCAAGAGGCGTCAATCTCACTACAAAAACATCATAAGCATCAGTAACAGCGTATCGTTCTTCTCTATTTAAGGTTTTGTTTTTTTCTTCCATTCTTTCTTTCTTCCTTTTATAAACATACGTCCTTTATCTTAATCGAGTCTACTAAAGTGAAGCTTCCATAGCATTTTAGTGGTCAAGGTCAAATGAGAAGTTCCTCCTTTTGAAAAAAAATCGAACGATTTGTGGACAATAAATGACCACTTACTCTTCATCGAGACGCCTTTCTGAGCACATAAGTTCTGGATAGATAGCATTTCATGAGTTATGCGAAGGCTAGGTTCGTAAGCAGCAATTCGCTCGGATAAGACTCTGGTTCCGGAGGCCAGCTCTCAAATCTCTCTACATACGAAAATTACGATTATAAGAAGAACCTGAACTTAAACTTGTAACCTTTTAAGAATAAAACATAGATTAAGACAGCATAAATATAGGGGTGAAGATTCATCAATGGTATGGGACAATAATCTAATTTTCACAGAAAAATTGAGTAAAGGTCTGCTGTAGTAGGATACATTTTATTCACAGCCAGCTTAGATTATCATCATAATTTGCGTGAAAATAGGATCGTGAATGATGTATAATGAATCCACATTGTTTCTATTGACCTTCTATGAATGTCGATTAACTAAATCAGAAACCTTATAATAGGTAACAAGCATTTCTAATTATGATTACGTGTATTGAGACTAGGTTAGGGCAAACAATGTTGACAGCATTTACAATAGTGATTACTTCCTTAAGTCTTCATAGTAGTCATCATAATATCCAGTCTTACTAAGTCACGTAATATTGATTGATATCGCCGTGCAAAAGGTTCGCATACGGTTTATTACTGTGTTAGCTACTCATTACGTGATAAACAGAAGCTAAAGATACGAAAAAATGCCGTCGAAGCAATATATTATCATTATCAGCTGCCGTTTTCAAAGGAAGAGCACGTTTTTAACTGGCGAGGTCAACTCTGCTTTGAGCCAATGCTCTGAAGCATGGTGGACTTTCCTTTCATCATATAAAGTATTCAGCTTTCCAGCATTTACTATGCTGTTAGCCATTTCCTCACTGCATTTCCCTACACGTTACTCATAAATAGCGAGGAGCAGAAGTACTGAACATTATACTACTATTACGGATTTAACTATTCGGCCCACCACGAACTTATCTCTGACCGTTGTTTAACCGTCTCATTCCACCTCCGTCAGTCACCGTTTTCGCCCCCCTAACAACCTTCTTCTTCAGTTGGAAATATTATCGCAGCAGCGTTAAAAAACACCCACTACAATACCTGCCCGTCTTCTTAACGACAAGTTACCCTCGAGCTGCTCTCAGCAGAAATGAATGCTCAAGAACAGACAGCGATGAGACTAATTATAGTGGATAAATATATATAAAATTACCCCCAGAAAATGTACCACTCACACTGGTTATGTTTGGGCGATTCACTAACTTTAGTCACCCCGTTACCAACACAGTGCTTATTGTCGCCTACATGTTAGAGCAACAGTAGCATCGTTTTAAATATTGCAGCATCTGTAGGTCTATTTAGGACAAGAGGTGACAGATAACAAACAGGATCCATTGTAACCAACTTGTAGCAAAGTATGAGTATCAAATGATATGGCCGCTTAAACGCTACATAATTACGTGCGTCATTTTCGCGTTTAGTTATGACCGATGAAGAGGTGAAGATTTCAGAATAAAGATGTTCGAAATGGTTTAGATTGACGGAAAGGCTTTAGTCTATGGTGAAGGCAACGGAGAGCTTGTTGCATCGGAGTCATCATGTTTCTTTCCGGCTGGTTTCGTTTAATGGCTTACACGTTTAGGGCCACGTGGTTGTCCTAATCCGAAACAGTGTGTAAAAAAAGAATACTGAAACATTGTTTGTCAAGGCTAATTAAATTATTTCCAGCAGCTTCTATGGATAATTGTCGTGAAGTATGCATAGCCTCTGAAACGTATTGCGTCATTTACAATTTATTTTAATCTCTTAATTTTTGTTAATTAATGGGATGAGTTTAGCTCTTTGATGTACTTGAATGCACTCCACGTTCTAGTGACCCAATCAATACAAATTGTCCTATTTTTAGTACATAGACTTCTTTAGCGGGGCAAGCGAGTTTGTTTGGAGCCCCGAGAAGTTCAGTACCAACACGCCTGATGTTTGTTTTTATTAAGAAATACCTCAGACCCATATAATACGAGTGTTTTTACAAGAGTATCTAAGAATTCCGAATATCTGAATTAAATGTCTGATCGCTTTGAAACTATTAGCGGAGATGATAGAAAAAATATCCTATTTAAAGTGATAGCTAAGGAAGCTTTTGTGAAAAACGGATTTTCGTGTCGAATAACCTTCCAAACTCCATGGAAGTGCTTAGGTACCATATACAATATATATAGTCATATATTTATTTCTTGCGCATTGTCCTCAGTGCTGCTTACTTTTACGCGTCTTCAGTGGACCGTTCAGCCTATGTCATAATAAACACCCCGCACGTTTTGCTTGATTGCTATCAAATTGACTTCATATAAAAACAACAAATTTCATTATATCTAAACAATAATTCTACAATAAAAGACCAGCAACAGTTGATTACCTTATGCTCTTGTATTGCGTAGTTGTGTGTATGCAATTTCTTTATCGTCGTATGTTTGGCGGTACGCGGGTGGCGCTACGCGGGTGGCGCTACGGTCATTATTAGCTAAAAAACACATGCAGAACGAGTTGGAACACGTCATCTATGGCGTTCACTATCACTGATATAGATATAATGGCAGACACCTTGAAAGCATGAGTCACTCATCGTTTTTCATCCATCCGCCACCAGATGAAACCGCTGGAAGTTGTCAAACAGGGCAGCGACTACAAAAACGCTATCGAAAAAACTGATTTACTGTTTGGTCACTGAAAACTAGCAGAAAATGGCTTCGGCTTCCTATTCCTTCTCAAAGAAAAACTCGATAGAACCTTTCTCGCGTCTCTTTTCTGTCATACTTACTTAGCTGTGCGCGCCCATGTGCCCAGTTGTGAAAGGCCTCTTGCTACGATTACCCTTGCTGTTGTTGCCGTTGTTTTTACTATTGCTGCTAACATTACTACTATTTAGCCAAATATACAGCTCTGTCTTACGTCAAAGTGGCAAATTATCCGTATGCATTATTTTCATATCACATTATACGTTCAGACTGTTCGGCCATCGTTTACAGGCGATCTGGCATTCTGGTGGCCAATAAACGCATGAGGACTTTGCCCGCCACTACTGCTCGCGCCACTGATGGCGCCGCCATCATCGACCTTCTAAAGTCAATAGCTGTAGGATCCGAAGAAGAGGCAGAAGCAGCTTCAGCAATGAATGTAGATCGTGCACAATAATCAGCTCTCACCCACCGCTACCATTTTTTCTTTTCCTTTTCCCTCTCTTTATGTCCCCGTCCGGTCCTGTCCATGTGCACTTACCCACATCGAGCATACTGTTACCCCAGCGCATACTCTTAATGCCATGTTCTATTTGCTTGGATGCGAAACACAGAAAATTGACAGTCGAAAAGCAGACGACTCCTGCGCGTTTTAGCACACGCGCAATCTTTGCACGTTTTTGCTGGTCGGCCTCCCCTTTAACTCCCCTTTTTGCTATGAGTTTTTTTGCACTATTAGACACTACCGGCATATACATTCGGTGCTTGCGGTCACACGGAATAACGAGTAAACGAAATTATTTTTGTATTTGTGCAGAAGGAACGCGTCATACTGCTGGGCAGTTTACGACGAGAGGGGGCATACTGGGTACGCCGTCATTCGGCGGTTGCGTCAGTACCCCGTCAACGGCGTCGATCCCTCTGTTGCGACGTCGCTTATCAGTCAAGATGGCGGAAGTGTGATGACCTTGTTGGCCGCCGCGTTATGCGTTTTAACATTGCTGCCTGTGTATAGCAGCAAGTCCATCTGGCCATCTGTTTGTGTCTTTACGCTCATGCCAGTCGATCAGCGAGCGTGAGAGGTTTGTTGCATCATCGTCAAATTGGGTGCGCCTTTTTTCTGCAAATACTGCTCATGCAGATGCCAGTGAAAGAACAATGTGGCTCAGTGGACCGTCTTGGTGAATAGTGTGTGTGTCCGGTAAACGATGCAACTAAGCTATCGTTTAAACGATGTTTTATAAGTAGAGGAAATCTGCACGGTATTCAGTAAGAAAAGAATACAAGCGATTGGCTCCTAGCACATCTATCCTATAGTCGTAGAACATTAGTTCTGACTGTGTGCGTGAATGTGTGTTTGTTTATATTCATATATGACGTCAGCGCTACTCAAAGAATGAGAGAAAGCTACGAAACAATTCTTAGCATGTAAAAGCGGGCCCGTGGCTTGGACAGCCTAAGAAACCACAAGTCGCTAGCTTATGGCCCGTTAACGACATAAATTGTGCTTAAGGAAACAAACAAGCGAAGGAAAACTTCACACTATTGGCTAACAACCAGCTCGTTTCGTTGCGGCGGGCCTCTATCAATACTTACTTTGTCGCTTATAAGGGTATCACTGTTTGGACTTGTCAACTGATACTTCTACGCCGTGTCACGGCAATCAACTCAATGAGATATGCCCAGAAGCTTTAGAACATCATTAGACGTCGCTGTTACAGAAAAAAGTTTTTGCGGAAATTTTAATTATGTTCATGGCATAAGGCTCGATCAAAAAAATAGATATGACGTGAGAGAAGGGCAATGTGGAGTCGATCGATTTAAGCGTGACATTTACACAGTGAATAGCGTAAAGCGATCATAGGTGTTAGGTCTCTATCTCTTTTGGTTCACAGAAACTGCAATCGTTGGACGCTCCATCACTGAACAGACGATTCAGTTGTCTGTTCGGATAGATATAGCGTGTTTACGGAAGCGCACAAACGACGTACATTCAAGATTGCACCACACATGTATCATAGACTCTTACCTAATCAGATTGTAGAGCTTCACGTAGCGATGTTAGGCTATTGACGGATGAGCGGATATGGTTAAGGCGATTCCCGTTTACGTAAGACATGTGCTTCGTTTTGCTGCAAACGATGCATTAAAGTCATCGCCGCATCTTTTCAAAACCTACAATTCTTGAAAACCCCTCATAAAAAGTTATCTTCTAGCTTTCTCAAACATATCCTTTACGATAATTAAGTGCTACGTTAAATGTGTATATGCTTGCTAAGTGCATTCTTTTAATTTTGACCAGCAAAACGAACGCTCACTGCAAGAACTGAAGCGTTATTGCTAATCCAGAACCTAACCTCTCTAGTACTCTATATTCTCTGTATATAAATGAGCCGAAAGTTGATAATGTTCTATGCATTTAAAGCATTGGCGTGATGGCGCTTTCACGTTTCGACATTTGACGCACACAGAATTCAATAACCAACTTCTACCTTTCGGCCTGTCCTGTTACGGTATTGATGACTAGCGCAAGTAAATTCCTAAGGACCTGAGTATTTTTTTTTTTTAGAAGACCTTTTAGAAGAGAAAATTGTACCAACAACCAGATGTGGAGAGTCAAATTCGGAAAAAGCACTCATTAAGTACATGATTTTTCCGACAGAGATATCTTTATGTTAGTCTTATTTTAAACACGTTGTTTTAGATCATTGCAAACAGGTGAGAGTCGACGGCCTGCGTAAGCAAGTGTGTAGCATCTTGATCATACCGATCCAGACTGGTAATGAATGAGCACCGTTGTGAGGTCTAGCTATTGTGGTCAGGGTAACTAACTCGACGCTCCAGTGAGGGCTTCCGATGCTGTGTAGTGCACAGAGCTCAACTACGTACAATTATAGGCGAACCCATTTCAAACGAAAAAAAAGTTTCGTAAAGAAAATCGGTTTGCTACCTCTTTCTACTATTGAGCTAATTTTGAACTAAAAAAATAAAGATTGATAGACAGAACACTTTATTAGTAGTCAAATCGGTCTTACTCCGCTTAGTGCATCTTATGCGTCGGGTAGATACTCAAAAGGACCATAAAAAATGTGTGCGGGTGTACGCGGGGCAGTACGGCCGCATAGTTCATATAGCATGGAGAGTGGTTCGGGTGGTGCTAACAGCAAGCTTTTGACTGCAATATTTCATCGATTCAACATGAGGGATGAGCGTTAACGATGGCGTCCAACAGTTGGGCGGGCGCGCGACCATTTCGCTCACACATAATCTTTTACCGCGAATAACATCAGCTAAGACATTGTAAGCTTCAAAGAGAATTATCGTTGATCTTAAACAGGATGGTAATGAACACGAACCGTCGCCTAAACGATGTGATTTTACTAGTGATCAGCAGTAACCCAACGCTTACGAAAGATTGGCCGAAGACCTCTTTCGGAGGCAGGTTCTAGGCAGGTATCTCGCAGAACAAATGAAGCATATGGATCTTAGCCATTTAGAAGGCGCAGAAGAAAAAATCCTTTCGATGATAGGTACCCAACATACCGACGTCTATGTTGAAATAATCAATTAGTTCGCCTAACATTTCTGAGACCCTGATATAAATGGAGAGAGAACTAATCATATATAGTATCATCTCCTTATATATAAAGCGAGTAAGGTTCTGCAAAGTTAAAGGGTAGGATAGGTTTTGATCTTTTTCTCGGTGAATATACTACACTCGGCAAGAAAACTGCACTGAAAACTCTATGCCTTTAAAGATTCATTTATCTGTTGAAAATTCCAAAAAACGTAACCTGGCGACTAAAATCACGAATGCTAGCGGACAATGCTACTGAGCTAAATGTATCTATTCAATATTGAATGCCAACATAATTACAGCTTGAGACTTACCATTGGCAGCTTATACGTTTTACCGTGCTTGGCTAGTAGATTCCAACACCATAACTGGATGTCGGCGAATATTAGTGTACTCTGTAAATACAGTATGGTGCAAAAAACAAATTTGTTAATAGCTGGGGTCGGCTTGAAACAGTTACATAGAAATAATTACTTGTCAATATACTGGGTTGGAAAAAATTCTTTTCTGATTAAGGAATACGACATTTCTTTAATCTCTGTGACAACAGTTTATTATATTATGTCTGCCTCATCATTGTTCACGTTTTTATTCCATCTTCTCACTAAACGCGCTATGTGCAGTCTCACCAGAAGGTAGCAGGTTTTGTCTCAAAGGCGCTTTTTAACCGTGTTTTGAGTCGTTGATCTGTCTCGAAAATAAGACCTCGAAGGTGATTGATTATTCAGCCAACGCAAAAAAAAAAAGTAAAATCCGTCGACGCAAAATTGGGAGAATATCAACACCCCAACAAAACCTGCCATTCGAGATTTACGCAAGTTTGACCATGTTTGCGCTTTATGGCCTCAGATTGCCACGGAGAATGACCCCGTTTGCCGGGTCTTTTTACTTGAATAGCTTGGTTGTTTTGTGCAACTGGGCCAAATAAACGTGCAAACCAACTGTGCAATTCCCACTGAATCAGGCCCTTGTAGTCTTACCAAACACAGAGCGTAATCTTTTTTGAGTAAGGGTCTTATTGGGTCTCCTGGAGCTACCTGTTCCGGTCTCCGATTCATGTCGACGTACAGACACCATTTCCCACCACTGCTGACAAAATCAGTCATTGTGACCGCGTAACGTTTAAAACTGCATGTAATGTTGGGATGCAACGTTAAGGCGTAATTCCTTATTGGATTTAGAGAGTTCATGAGGTGTCCAAGGTTCTCTGTAAGTACAAGAGACTTGAAATAGTTAGTGAGCGTCGTGTGCGTGTGGCTCATCCTTTCGGCCGATTTTTGAGTTGCTTATCGCTTGTCTTTCCTCAAAGGTGCTTTCGAATGGCTTTCATCAAGCTCAGACGGTCGTCTAGAGCGAGGGACATCCTTTAGGTCTTGGACCCGTTTTCAAACTTGGCAAAGTACTCGTCAACAGCCCTTTAGCAGTAGCGTCATTACCTTACACAAGGCAAATGTCCCGGGCTGTTTCAACAGCGCTTTAGCCTCGACGAAATGCATAGTTCAGGAGGGATCAGGGATACACTTTTTTTTAAAATCCTGAACATCAATTTCTGAGGAAGTCTTTTGAGTTGAAATTGCATTCATAATACAGTACCTTTACAGCACAAAGAGTGCCTTTGATCGATATATCGGAAGTTAACAACAACAATATGAAGGAAAGCCTTTTATTATAGCGAGGTAACATTCCTTCCATATACAGAGCACTTCGGAAGTTTATATATATATTACGAAAAAGACTGTAGTAATTTCGTTTTTTTGTTTGTGAATTGGACTCTATGGTGAAAAGTTTATGCTCATAACAATTTCAACAGTTTCAGGGCTACATACTAAAAGAACTGTCTTAAGGATTTACAATTACGCTCAATATTTTATCTGCTAAGGTCAGCGAATCCATTAGAATCGGACGTCGAACAGGGCAATATATCATAGCATACACTCGGAAGATAACATAAGAAGAAGAAGCGAACTTTTCTAAATCTTTTCGAATAAAAACTGGAAAAATTAGTGAAATTAAGCAATAAATTAGCCGTAACCAAACCAGTGAAATGGCGGACCAAATAGTTTGACCTTTTTTTTCTTGGCTATTCGCGTGAAGTGAGAGTGAGCAGCAACTGAAACCTAAAAGTAAATTCACGGTGTGAAAATTCAACATCCCACCATTTCGATTTTTCCATATTAACTAGATAAAGCATTTTTTTCAATTATTTCTTAAAGCGAAATGTTTACGAATCTGTTTACAGTTGACTTTAGGGAAGAACGTGGTAACTCGGCAGTCAGGTATAACCGACAAAGTTATACTGAACGTCTCACTAACGGTCAATTTAGCCGTTCGCAAAATCTCTTAGATGTTCACATATTTAAACGTCTCAACATCGTCATTGACCAACAATCAACTAATAACAATTACATCGTCAAGGACTCGTTACTTTTCAGGCACAGTGGCAATAGGCATAACCAAAATGTCAATATGTTTTGTGATAACGGTCCCAGAGATGGATAGATCGCAAATAATTGTTGATGGGGTAGATGAAATACGTTAACAAAGAGTAGAGATCGATACTTTATTTTATCACTGTATGCGATGCACTTTTAGACGCCGACAAGTGCCCCATGATGTCGAAGTATTATTATAACAAATCTCGACCCAAACCCAAAGACAAAGTGTGAAGCTAGTGACTTCTGTAGTTGTGAAACGTTCACTAAGGTCGCATACAGCCATGGCAAATTCCTAATGATAAAGCGCAACTTCGAAAACGCGCGAAACCCGAATAGAATTTACACATCACCCCCCTGAAAAAAGCCACTGTAACATTACTTATTATATAAAATGTGTTCAACTAGTAAGATGACGGCTTGACGTTATTTCGGAGCATGTTTTTTCTTACATGAAATAACTTATCCTAAATCGAAACTACTAAAAATTTCTTGACCTCTCTCTACCCTGGCATTCGAGTAACTAGGTTACATAGCTAACAAGCTTTGGGTGCTCATGGAGCACCAATATCTTAATTTGAATTAAGTATTTATGCAGATGCTCAGTTTAAATAAATATCTAAGATTATTAACCTACATCAAATAATGGATGAAATAGAAACACAAGCCCGACCGGATTTACTGAAAAACGTATCTGCAGATTTCGAAAACAAAGCTCTTGGGGATGTTTTTCACAGTGATACTAGAAGTTGTTACTAAAAGCTGTAATTTTTTGTAAAAAAATAAATCAAAACAAAGTAATCCAAACATAGCGAATGTGGGTTACAAGTGCCAAAGAAAATATAGTATGTTTTGTAAACACTTCCGACCAATGATAGAAATATGGAAGATTTATAAGTTGAATCATTTTCTCTTGCTATTATCTATTGGTGTTTAATTTTTTATTCTAAAGGCTATTTTTATTAAGACGGCTGTATTTACTTGTCCGAGAACTTCTTCCAAAATTAGCCGTTACCCTATATGCTCCATGTGCTCGCCTATTTTAGTAATATGTAAGCTTTTTAGTCTTCTGTCTTTGACAACAAAAAATGATGCGAACGGAACAATCTATTGTATTCATATAGCATTCTCGTATTTGCTAAAAGTATTTGCATATTTTGTTCACGTAATTACCTAATTAATTTCTAGAATGGATTGTAGGAAATGACTAAAGGGAACTCATTAATTTTCTAAAGTAGAAAAAACATTTCAACATATTATTATGAGTAGAATTAAAATAGGATTTAATTTAAGCATTCTCCTCAGACTTTCTCCCATTTATGGAGTGATCGATTCAGGCTAGGGGAGACTCGAGACGGACGGCAGCTAGGGATGACATGTTTACAATATTTGTTGCTAACCAATATAAAGAGCCTAGATTTACTGTTGAAACTACACCACTAATCCAAGAGTAGACTGGTATCAAAACGAAGATGTTTAAATCCAACGTTTTTACTTCACACAACGATCTTGGACAAGAACGGTATCCTCGAAATCACCCATCTTTCTCAAAAAAGATGATTCTAACATTTACAAAGGCTGAATTACTATTTAGCGCATTCACATAAAATTTATCAACCTATAATATTATTTTCCTTTTTTAAATAGGGATGTCATAATAGGTGTTCATTTTACACTGCGTTTACAGAATTTTTTAGAAATTGTTCTATATCTGAACGATTTCTCAAATGTGATTGAGTTACTTTTGTTGTTGATTCTGACAATTCGCATGATCGCGCTACATCGAATGACTTAGATAGAACAACACCACGCAACAAAAGTGTTTGTATTTAAATCGATCTGCCATAAAATGTAGAAATAATTGAAAAAGAGATAATGAAGTCCGACGTTTTTTGAAAATTTTATTGAGCGAACAATTCTTCCTGGTGAAAGGGCCAGGCGCGGTCGGTTTAAGCCCCCATGTCCAAATGACGATATTTACGTGCACGAGAAGAATATATTTGTGATATTTAGTTTATAATGAAAGCAATACTCGTTATGTTAGATTGACTGTAGACAAGTTCATCCCATAGGCCGAAGAAAATACTAATGTAGGTTTATGTTTGTAAATCATTTTAAGATATTAAAGCAAATCGCTATCGAAAATATATAATGACCTTACGTTATAGCCCCTATTAGGCAAAGTGGCCATTGAACGTCGATTGGATATTTATTACAGGAAATCCAAGAATAAAATATAGCACCAATCCAATTTACTCTGATTGGTGTCTATATTTTACGCTATAATTTCTGTTATCTATATAGACTCTTATGACATTATTTTGCTAAAAAGGAAACAAGTCGTTGATTAATTTACTAAAATACGCTGATTATATATAGAGAGACGAATATAAACACTTCTGCATCGTTGTCGTTAAGCTCGGCTCTCGGTCAGCTGTCGTTGGAACAACTAAGGTGAACCTTCTCTCGAAGTCTCCATGTTCTCTCAGATGCAAGATGGCCACTCGCATGATGCCGCTTTGTTCTCGCGCGGTTCTTCGAGGCTTGGGGCCCAATGCATTTGCTTTGGGGGCTCGCTGTTCCTCAACTTCTGCCCATGGCACGGCCTGGAAGTGGTGGAAGAAACCTGCAGCTGTTGCAGCAGGAGCTGCTGTCTTTGGTGCCCTATCCGGTAAGCACCCATCTTTCGTATTCCACATAACGAAGAGTTACAGCCCTGATGTCCCGAAGTGCGATGTCGAACAGTAGCCGATAGCCCAGGAGGCCTCTTAGATGTCCTTTGTCAATTAAATGTAAGCTATTTTGCTTGACACGATAACTAAATATAGCTTCTGTTATCAAAACGTCTGTTGTGAAGTTAACGGCCCTTTAAAGGTTACCAAAACTTGAGCACAAGTCATAAGCTCATAAGAAGCTGACATGCATTGTTTAGTGTTAATGGTACTTTCTGTAAAACCCAATAAAAAGTCAATTTGCCTACACTAAAGAAAAACTTAAGCCATTAGTGTGGCCCGTCGAAACAATGCTTAAATGTATTTTAACTATTCTAAAGGACCATTTAGTCATTTACGCCGGTGTGCATGTTATGTATCTCTCCCAACGAATTTTGGAGTAAGCGAACTCACGCAGGGTCGGGTAGTCGGTAAGTCTGAACAATTAGCTCTCCACATAGTCGCTGTTTTTATTACTAGTACACTATCCTAAAAATACTTAGTGGTAAACAAAGGGTCATTATACGCTGCTATGTCTATATATGGATTGAATATGCCGACTAGTATCATGATATTTTTGTTATGTAGCAACATAGATGATAGAATGTTTATTTCAATAGGTCTCATTTTCTAAAACTTTGTTCATTATTATTTTTATTATATTCTAATCGACGTAGACTATTGTTTACATATATCCTTCGAAAATCACTTCAAAAGTACTATAAATTGTTTAGTCAAGCTTATTTTAGGGATTGTTCTATAAAACTCATCAAATAAGATGTCGACAATAAAAGGACTAGCTTTTGAAACTGAATTTTAAAGTAGTTGATAGTATAAGCAACACAAATGATCACTGCATTAATAGATTGCGTAAAGGCTGTAGCGTATATTTATTGTATCACTCGTATAGTTGTGCACAAATGATTACCTTATAGTCTGTACTAATTATTACACTATGTCATTTCCTACGGCGGTCTTAGGTACCCTGCATTGGAAATTGTCAGCAGCTTCACCAGCAGTGGAGGATTCACCGCAGAAATCCACAGGCAATGCGAATACACCTCTCATAGTTCAAGCTCAGGAGGTCGAACCTGCAAGCTGGAAAAATATTAAGGAACCTCCAAATGTGCCTATCGCAAGGAAGGTTTGTTACATTCGCATGAACATGCGTCAGTTTTCGAAACAGCGATAACATAACTTCTAGCGTTTGCATAGATGATTTCGAAAATAACTGATGCCGTTTAAGCGTTCAAGTACTTTTTGCGAACTCATTATAGTGTTTTTGTGTGATTTTCAACCATTTCACTTATAAACTTATAGTCTAATATCTTAAAGGAGCCTTAAAGGCATGTATTATGTATATATATATACATAACATGAACATCATTTAATGCAGGTATCGGGAGCTCAACCTCTTCCTGGAATCAGGCTTACCTTATTTCAGTACCAAACATGCCCATTCTGCTGCAAGGTAAATTAATACAGCAATGACGTAGCCCATATTAGTGCTTTCCTATCGATAATTTGCAAAGTATCGACAAAAAAAACTTTTAAAAAAAAGTTTTACATGTCGTATAAGTAATTCAATGTATCTATGAAAACTCTTCAGAACAATATATGTCAGTAACCAAGCAAGCGGTTCCCATGACGCGATAGGCTTTCACAAAAAAAACATTTTGTCGTTCTAGATTTTAGAGAACTCTGCAATAAACTCATTCCAGGTGCGAGCTTTTCTGGATTATCATGGAATTCCGTATGACATCGTTGAGGTAGAACCTGTTCTTCGGCAGCAAATAAAATTCTCCACCTATAAAAAGGTGCCCATCGTGCTTTTGAGAGAAGGGAACAATTGTTGGGTAAGTGCGCATGAACGACGTTAGAATGCTCTAAACGATATTTGGTTTCAATAAATGCTTAGAAGTTTGCATTGATGCCTGTTAATCACTTGCTCCTCACAAGGTTAGGACTTGTGATCTACTTTCACCTTGTTTAACCGACAGGTGAATGTGAAGGCTGAAACATAAGCCTCTTATAAATGCTTTTGTGCCATAATTTACTTTTGTCTTCACATGAGTCAGTAGTGTACAAATTTTACTCTAGTAGTGCTATTCATTAATGCCTGTTTGTTTAGGGGAAGTGCAAACACTACAATTAAAAATACATCGTTTATAACATAAAGTGCTTAGCAGATATGGCACGGTTATGATTGGATATGTCATATAACATCATCATTGATCAATTTTTTTTAAAATGTAAGGTTCAGTCGATACATAGCTGCTTGTGAAGGAGTGACTACCTTAATTTTGTTCACATGCGCATAGTAAGTAGGAAAACGTAAGTAATATATATGAACCGCATCTTTTTTTTTAATTTTTGATCTATTCAGCAACTCAACGAATCGTCGGCGATCATAAGCATACTGCAAAGTTATCGTCTAAATAGCGAGCCAGGAATACAGGCTTACCTCAATCTCTACCAACCAATGAAAACCAAAGATCCCAAAGGGAAGGAGGTAAATTAAGTTAAAAATCAACAGTAAGCCAAAATGCTAAATCTATGACAATCGGACATTCTCTATACCAGCGTAAGATTACTTGTAGGTCATACATCTTACGCAAAACATGTTGACATTAAAATAATGGGAAATCGGAAGATGCTGAAAATCTTATAGCAAATTAGGCGTGTAAAAAAAATAACTAGAAAGGTTAAGTTTTTATGACATATTAGTCAAATAAAGGATGTCGCTACTTGGGTATAGCAAGCCCACTTACGAGCAATGCCGATGAAGTAATTTTGTAAAACCATGTTTCGAATTTATACAGAATATATCTGGTTATGCTCTAGTACACTCTTCTTATTAAAAAGTAGGAGTTCGATCTTTGTGTTCGCGAAACACCGAATGCGAGTTAATTATGTTGTCCTTTAGTAAAGTAAAAATTACAAAATACTTGTATTACTTAAAAAAAGGTTTTCTTCTTCCATATGATTTTAGGTATTGGAAGTGTTCAACAAGTATAATCTAATATATGATCCCCGAGAAGAGACGCTTAATGAAGATGCCGTTAGCAGTGAAATCAAATGGCGTCGCTGGGCAGACGATCATCTTGTTCATGTTCTCTCGCCTAACGTCTATCGCTCGCCAACGGAAGCGTTACAGGCATTCAACTATTTTAGCGATGTATGCGTTTGGCTTAAGCAATAATTGTATTTATCAACATATAGTAATTGCGTTTATTCTTCTCAATCTCTTTGAAATTGCTTACAGTGTACATTACTAAAATCAATCGTAATTGACGTTTTTCAAAAAGAACTATAAGCCAAGTCAGCCGACAATAATTTTGCTTCTGATTCGTTACCAGTGTTCTTACCCAAAACCAGAGTTCATACCCGAAGTTTCTGATGATTAGAATTAGTCAAGCTAAAATGACGGTCCGTCTAGTTTTCTCAACTGACTTTAAGTCACCCTCAAGCGGGGTAACTTTTTTGGAAACTCGCTAACTATACAATAAAAAAATACGTCATGTTCGTTAAATTCTTATAGAAATTTGTTTTGGCAGGTCGGCGACTGGAAAAAGCTATTTCCAGCGTGGGAGCGTTACCTTGTTATTTATGTAGGTGCCGCTGCGATGTACTTGGTCGGAAAACGCTTACAGAAAAAATATAATCTCAAGGTAAGAAGTACTACCAGCGTGGATGGACGAAACTAAACGCATTATCTGCTCGCGCGAGTATGTATCTGCTTGGATTCTTTGTGTTTTCACTAACCCGCTACTTCGTTTCGTTCAGTGAAACTGAACGCTTAATAATTTAATTGTATTTATAACTAAACGTTCGTATATAAATCTGTGTGTCTTTATTTTCACTTTTCTATAGTAATCTATATCTTCTATGTAGTAACTTCTGCCCAGTTGTCTCTGGAAGTTTGTTTATTAACATTCTTTATTTTGCTTTGAAATGTTTATCTATAAAGAAAAACGTGATCCTGTGCTTTCAAAGGTGAAGTCCAGACATACAAGATTGTTCAATATTATTGTACTACTATTGTAGACTGAAATCATATTATAGATAAAGTTGGCATATTCCAGTTAGTGAATTGCTCTGCATGTTCAGACCTCAATATGTACTTCGACTTATGTTGCAGGAGGATGTGCGGTTGAGTTTCTACGAAGCGTGCGATACGTGGACCGATTATTTGGGAAATGGCAAATTTGCTGGCGGCAAAAGGCCTAATCTCGCCGACTTGGTCAGTGTGAAAAGCATAAAACTAAAGTAAAAATATAAGTCTCTTACTGTAAATGTGATCTGATGAAACAAGTGCTTACTCGATACTCAGAGGAATTTTTTTTTAGAAAAATTTCTCAGAAAAAATTCAGAGTTTAACGGTTTTATAAAAATGCAGTTTTTTCAAGGTTTATAGTATCGTAAGCTGACTTCATAATTGTTAGTTGCGAGATGCAAAAAACTGGTATAATCGTACTGATCTCCATTGTTCTGTTGTTTTTTTTAACAATAACCTTGGTATGTATTTTTGTAGGCCGTATTTGGTGTTTTGAGCTCTGTCGAAGGATGTGCGGCATTCGACGACGTGTTGAAACATACTAAAATTCAACGATGGTTTAACGATATGAAAACCGCTACGCAGAGAACTGATCCAACTTATTAAACATATGTTGGACCTATGTATGTCTTTGGTCTTTCAACACTGTTTATAAGCTATCGCGAAAGGCCGCTAGAACGTAATTAGAGTTGTCAAGGGGCATCGATAGTGTATTATTATTAAGCATCTATACTGTGAGCGTAAGCATATTGCGTCTTCAATTCCTTCCATTCGATGAAATCGAGACATGACGTCGTTTATCGGCTGATGGTCCACTGTCTGCTCACAGTTAATAACTTGCCTAGCTGATTCGGGCTACAATAACAAATGAAATATCAAGAACGAACACAAGGCCAAAGAAAATCACCGAATGACAATTCAAGTTTTTTATGACAATAGTTTTTTGAGCTTTTTTCTACTTATACAGTTGCAGATGGAGCTACCGTATGCAACTGAATTTAATTATGATTGAGATCATTAACCTCTCTTACGAAGTTTCTGCAGTGAAAAGCTATACTTAAAAAATAGAAATATGAGGCAAAACCCTCCAAATATATACAGTTGATGGCCATATGCTAGAATTGCCTTTATTACTTACCGATCGACTAATGCGATCCTGCATTATTGAGATTTAGAGCGTACCATATATATAGGTCACGGTAAAATAGAAACGGAGAATAAACTGTGTTTTAGCTTTGCGAGAAAAAAACCTTTTCTTTTTGTATCCAGCTTAGTTTATATCGCAAAATGAAAATATCTATTAGCATTAGTTGAGCTGGCTACCAACAATTTTTCACGTAGATGTTAGAAATTTACTTTTGGAGATTTCTAGACTTTAGTAATAAATAAAGTAGTCATCATATAGATATTCAAATTAATGTCAAACCTTTCAATCAGCCGTCTACTCTACGGTTATGTGTAGGCACAACGGTTATATTCTTTGATATCATTTGATCATACAGTTTCAAATTGTCAGGAAGTACGGTACAACATTTCCCGTGTAGGATTATAATTGTTCATTTAATTGACTTGTTTTAAAATGTACATAATGGGTTAGATTCCTGGCATCTATCTAAAACAATACTGTATAGACCGAGCGGTCAGTGTATTCCAAAGGGGTGATGTGGTACTGAGTAACTGAATATGTTAAAATAAATATTGGAGGATTTGATTTGATTCGAAGTCATGATATTGTGCTTTGCGATGTTTGTGTTACAGTCTTTATTATATCTGTAAAGTTTATCCGTAACAAGGATGGCTATTAACCCTACGCATATTCGAAATAGATGCCAAAGCCTATTGAGAACGTAAGTAAAAATGATCAGTTCACGTTTTAGGCTGTACAACCGTATGCTATTTGGACTATTCTAGCCTATTAATGTATACGTTTGATTTGGCATTCTTTCTTTACCTCGGTAAGTAGGCTCTTTCTCTCGCCTGCTTGTTTACGCTAGAGACAAATCATAATTGGAACATAACAAAATACGCCACAAGTAAAATATTAGGGGTAATTTTAGGCAATCTTTACCATTTTAAGAGTGGCTATTTATTGGTCAGATTCGACGATAGGTAGCCTGTGCAGAGTTCACTGCATTTGCTTAAAAGAGTTAAGCGTTATAAATGAGTTTAATTTTTATGAAGCTTGTGGTTGGATTTGCACTTGCTCCTATCACTTACACTTTTGATAGGCTAGGTCAGATTGTATAATTATATATACAGTTATTATTATTATCATCATCATAATCTAACAATTTCTGTTGGAATCATTTATCCATTATTCACGAATCAAAATACAGCGTAGTCTAACTATAGGTTGAACAATATAATAGAAATTTGCCTTTATTATGGTGGTATATTCTCGTAGTCAGTGGAACGCCCTGGGATGCCCTCCGTGAGTATAGTCTATGTACACTTCACTGTGGAACCGCTTCTAAGGGTAGTTTGTCGGATTTGAATAATCTTAAAGACTAAACGCAGTGCATACAGTTCATTGCCCAATTTAACACCCGCTGCCCCGTGCTAATCTAGACTTGAGTACCGTCGATTCAGTACATCGAAAAACTACTTAATGTGCAGATCTAATTCGTAGCCAATATATATCTTAGAATAAAACAACGGGTTCGGTGGTAATAGTCAATCAAAGGTTTTGATATAAAATTCGGGTCTTTTTATTAAAAAATAACGAAATGTGGTATTATTGCATAATTTACTGGCCGAGTGAACTCTATGGCTGATAACGTCAATAAATTAAGTTTAAGGGTACTAGGCACGATAAGTAAATAGGTCCTCATTATAGCACGATAATAAATAGTAGTAGGAATCTTAAGGGTAATATAAAACAAGGAAATAATAGCGTGCTAGTCTTAAGGAGACCTTGTGGTCTAGGTTCAAATCCAGGCATAAACACACTTCGATTGTGTGGTGAGGGCCAGCCGTTTGATGGAATGTCTAACGGCGATACCGGGCGTTAAAACTCGAAGCCCGGAGGTAGATACGACGAATACTTGTTGGTAGATTTAACAATCATTGAGACTATAATTTTTTCACGACATTCCAAACGGATTATTTCATTTAGCCTTGTGTTTTCCGGCAGAATATGCCTTGTTTTCAAGAATTCCTGTAACTTTGTCAGTAGGCAGCGTTACGATACCGATGAAACTTGCGGAAGTTTCTATGTTTAACATGTTATTACGATGCTAAAGATGACCTTCTCCATGATTGGTTGAATTGATATAAAAGCGTATAGTTGGAGGGCTGTCAATGAACACCGAAGAGAAGTTGCCATTAAGTTCTTCACTGTGTTGTGGCGAACCGACCACGTTTAAGAATATCCGACTAAACGATGTTATTTGGCTTAATCTACGTTTCTGATGCTACTCATACAGTACATATGGGTTCCTTCCAAAAAGGAAAAACACCTAAATGATCCAGAATGTCAGACTTTGTATGCCTGTATCCTACTAGATCCCAAGATACTGGGACATATCTTGTGCCGTCATTATGGGGTTACACAAATTGTTCCTTACACGGTCTTCCTGGGGTGTCAAGGATTATTCTAATGTAATGGAAATTATAACGCCAGGATAACGCTCTCAAAACAGCTTTTCTAGATAAGAAATTAGAAAAGAATCTCTTTATTAATAAATGTACGTTATGTTTATTAGCAGATATTGTAACAATCATTATTATCTAATATGTAGAGTGAATATTTTTTGGATATCTCGAATTCAGACTTCAAAGGGATGATGAAGCTCATAACAAATAGCATTTTGCCAATGGAGGAGAAGCAGCCTATACATGTGCATGTAGATAAGAGTTGTTTTTACGTTTAATATTCATTTAAAATTAGTTTAAATAGCTAGCCGTGGTTAGTGAAACATTTTAAATTTCTTAGGTCTTTTTTTGGTGCTTGAAGTAGCTACCATCAACCATTAAACACGTTTGGCACCAACGAAAATGATGATGTTTTTGAAAATACTAATAATTTTGAAGATGTAAATCTCAGCGTCGATACTTTTGTCATAAATCAGTCACGGTAAAAAGAAACTTCAGATATAATGGCAGTAAGGTATATAATGTCAAACTAAGTCTACGGTAAATTTGAATTAAAAAGTCAAGTATTTAAAAAAAAAATCACTAAGTCTCAATTGGGAAGCAAACTGGAGCGCTCATAGTTGTGAATTCACCACCCTTACCAGCCTGCCGCTAAAGCAATCCAATTTATCAGCATTTATTATTAACTGCACACGTGACAGTCGAAACAATCATAGGCACATAGTAAATCTACAGATTTTAAAAAAGGAAGACGTCCAGTCCTGAAAAGATCGACTTCCATGTAAGACCTACATAAACACTTGTATAACCTAAATTTATAGTACACACATTTATGAGATTCGAAAACCGTACTCTATTAACGCCACCAGACAAATCTAGTACAGGTTCATTAAAAGGGTGTCGTTGCAATCAAAAAAACAAACAATACAACGCCTACCAAAGAGAATCGTACAAATGCTAAAAAAAGTTATATAGTATTTACTATGAAGTGACTATAAAATGTGTGTATGATATGAAAAAATACCTTTGTAGTGACCCACTTCTTTCATCCATTGCGGGCACAGACGAAATGAATAAGTTTTCGTAGGTGTCTCCTAAACACCAATGTAGTCCTGATATTATTAGATATGATCAAATATTTAGTATATAATGCTTCATATCATATAGTTAAATTGAATAGTTGCATAAATTCAATCCTTGACTCAATGGAAGTGTATTTAATTGATTGAACTCAGGGGTATAAAGTACTGACCGTTGTATTCGCACTTCTGTGATGATATTTCCAGATATTGTTTTGCGAAAATACAGCACAACCATTTGCAATCTAAAAAATCACTCTTGACAGTGATTACTTCTGGTGAATGTCTAAACCACGAAAATATAGTCACTGAATTGCTATTAATCAACAAGAGCTGGTTTGAAAAATAATATACAAATAATATATTTAATTATTTACATTGTAATAATACATTCGTTTCGTATATCGTCTGCTATGTTTTTCTGCCATACCTCAACGATATATTCGTTCCACTAGAATTTTCCTATCTGTATATATATGTATAGAAAATTCTATACATTTACATACCAGTAATTTAATTTGTCAGTAATCGAAGAAAGCGATAATTCGTCGGCGCAGGATCTCGTGAATACAAATGGACTTCCCACTCAAATCTTTACAAAGTGATTTCAACCAACCGGGAACGATCACTTTGTTTTGTCCTTTTTCGTTTACATTCCGACTATTGCTTATATGTAAATAGGTCCTTGGAATAAAGTCCTTGGTGTATCATCAATGACCCATCTTACTGAAAGTGGCCCAGACGATGTGAAGACCTAGGATCTCTCCAATAGAGCTTTAAAACAGCACGGTAACCATATAAGAAGCTCTTTCGGAGTCTCTAGTCTAATTTGTCCTTGTGGTCCGAGTCTATTACCTTTTATAGAAATATCGACGCTAAGATTTGTAATCGCTCTCGTAACGAGCAAAGCCATGTTCATGGTTACTAGTACGATGCGTCCAGAGATGCGCATTTGTAGCATTGATGGGACCGCTTCAACGGTCAGTTGTCTAGTTAAAATATCCGAGAGATTGTCGATGCAAGTCCCGCCATCGAGACATACGACTACACAACCTGTATAAATTCTTTTTAGGTAGATTATTTTCTTATTTTTCTGAGTTTCTTTCCACTGTGTAAAATCCTTTCAGTACCATGAACCGTAAATCATAGTTTCTTTCGTAGGTAGAAATTTGATCTTGCGCTTACCTCTTGGAACAACCCATCTCATCTTCTGCTTTATGTCGATGTAGAGACCACACTTTTCGTTTTGCCGATAGGACTTCCACGTAGCAGTTTGTCATCGTGGCCGCGTGTTGGCTGGTGTTAAGCGCGATGTTGACAGGCAATCGAAAACCTTGTTCGTAGTCTATATTCTTGGCTACGTGACGAGCTGTTTGCTACTCGAGGTTCTCATCGACCGTGAACGGTTGACCGGGATGGAGTGCGTCTTTTAGGTGTCGAAATTAAAGTCTGTTCATCAAACAAGAAAATGACAGCGCATTTATGAGGCGCGTGCGCTATGTAGAAAAAAAGAAAAAAAAAAAAGACGTTTGAAACGCTCGGGATTGCTACCTACGATCAGAATTTCTTGTAAGACACGACGTTTGTCCTGAATAGAATTTTGGAATCGTTTTTCGTAATCCATTAGCGGTTTCATCATAACCTTTGATGTCGTCTTCTTAGATGTCTCTTCAGAAATACAAGGCTTTTTGCTGTCCTACATAGTTCACTAAGTTCGAATACCAACGTATAGCTAAAAGCTTCGTACTGTCATCAGACTGGCTTGAAATAGTAGAGGTTACTGCCTCGGTTATTGAATATTCTGTATTGTCGGGTTGTGCTACTGGAGAACAAACCTAAATCAGGCAAATGCAATTTTGTCCCTGCTACAACCTGTCAGTAAAGAAAATCCTATATTAATAGAAACGCATACGGAAAATCAGGTTTAACCTCAAAAGCATTTATTTGGTCAAATAATCGGCCTTTGGGAGACTATCGTTAGTCAATGTTCCTCAGTTCAGAATTAGGTTAGGAGACCTAATCTATGCATAATTTCAATGAATGTGTTACCAT